TTTTTTTGTTTTTCCTTTTCCACCAATGTTTTTTATAACTTCCAGAATGCTCTTTGTACATATACTTATCATCTTCTCCTCGGAGGACCTTCAACAAATGATTACATGACTAGGAGGTGTGTTTACACGTCTCAGTTCAGAGTATTCCTGAGGATATCTCACATGTTCTATAAAACACTAACCTGCGATAATTTGGATTTTGTAACCGTTGTATTATTGGCTCCATAAAGGAATCAGTGCCAAAAAGGAGGAGGTAATTTGCTTTAAATAGCTTTACAATCTGAGGAAATCCTCAGTTGATCCTTTTCAAGCCACAATGGAGAAGCTGTTGTGGCTTGGGTGTTTATATTTTTTGTGCATCTATGGAAGTCAAGGCAGGGAGGTGGAAATAGAGAATGACTTTGTGCTTCTTGCAGGCCCCCTGGTAATGCAGGAGCTTAAAGCATCCAGCAGCGAAGAACATGTTGCCTTTGACTGCAGTTTTCCCCTACCGACGGGCTCCAGAGATTATTTTCAGTACCTCCAGACCAAAGGTGTGACCCACTTTAAAGTCCCGTTGTCATGGACTCAGCTCCTTCCTACAGGGCTCCCCAGCAAACCCCAAAAGGATGTAGTTAGATGTTACCACACCCTTCTAGAGCAGCTGTTGGAAGTGGGCCTGCAACCGCTTATTGTCCTTCATGGAGCAGAAGTTCCAGACACACTTAAGTCCAGATATGGGAGCTGGGAGAGTCATTCACTGTTAGAGATGTTTCAACAGTATGCTGAGTTTGCCATGAAAGAGTTTGGCCCCTGGGCACAGTCATGGGTGATATTTAGTGACCTGGATGAAGTTTTGCATGACGGCCAGACAGCAGATGGTCACAGTCTCCTGCAAAACATCCTCCAGCTCAACAAGAAGATTTACAAGTTTTACCATCAAACCTTCCCTGGCAATGGTGAGTTAACTTGATTAATCTTTTTAGCTATATTGTTTTAATAAGCACCTATAGCAATGGATTATTAAGAAAATCAATTTGGAAATTTTAGTGGAAAAAGTATTAAATGTCTTAATTTCTTTTGCACTTTTATAGGGAGACGTTTGTCAGTTGGACTAAAAGCAAGAGATGAAGCTACACTTTCCCTAGTAAAAAGTTTCACAACTGTAAGTCAACAACTATCCTTTTTATTCATGATATAACTAAAGGCGCAGTTTAATATAAAATATATAACCAAAAAATATAATAATATACCGGGATAATCTAGCAAAGCTTTTTTTAAATTCATTGAAAAAGGTGTGCTCGGTTTTTAGTTCTCAGCTTTACTAAAATATGAAGTACTAAAAAAAAAAAAAAAAATGTTTATGAAAAAATATGCTGTGATTTACTTTAAATGTGATCTGAATTTATTGCAATCCTTTTCGGCTTTAATTTCTAAGAATCCTTTTTAATGAAATAAGTAGTTTTACAGTTTAAAGTATGTATTATCTTTGTATAGTTGTGCATTTGTATGGAAGACTTTGGCCAAATACTTTCCAAGAGAAAAGCAATATCACTTTAGTTTATTTATGTATTCGACCAGAAAAACAGGAGTCATATATTTTATTTACACCCTCCAATATACAAAACAATTACCGGTAACAGTGACTGGTGCTGATTCTAACAGCTAATTTGCTTTGCCTTTGGGATGAATAAAATGTTTTCAGCTTGTTTTTGTCTGGATGTTGATTCAACTCCTTTTAATTTTACAGGTTGATTTCTTATCAGTGGAACTTGATTACAGCTGTGCTCTATCTGAAAAGTTTGCTCTTGAGCTAAAGAACTTACAGGTAAGCTTTATATATATATATATATATATATATATATATATATATATATATATGTATTACGTGTATATATATTACATATATACCAAATTGCAGTCTGAGGTATATCATGTTCTTCTGTAGACTTTGAGCGGACACCTTCCCATCCTGATATACAAACTGCTTGTTCATGATTGTTCACATGATGAACAAAAACCTCTTGGAGATTTACTTCATGGTAAGTTTTTACAATCTTGCCAAACTATATACCGGTAATACATGTTGACAGCTGTAAATACTAAGTAACTTTAAATGTGTATATATTAAGGTTTTTTCATGTTAGTCAAAAATGGTTAAAGGATTTACTTAATTACAATTCAGAATCCGTCTAAAGAGTATCTTTGGAATAATAACATTTAAAAAGAAGCAACACATTATTAGTAAAAGACAGACAATAATTGACAACAGTACCATAATCAGAAATTAAGTTTAACATTTTTGTTTTAAAACTGAGATTTTGTAAAAATGTCAGCAATTATAAGATTTTTGTTTTGGATTGTCAAAACACAAATCAAGAAATATACCAACTAATAGTATATGGAGAAGTCCTGTATGGTCTTTGTTCAGTTTAAAAAGTGACAAAGACTCCAACCAGGCTTAGAAGGGAAATCTGTTCTAGATATAATATTATAACTAACATTATAGAGGAGGAGTTAAATCCTTTATGTTGCAATTTTAATCAAATTTCGTCACCTGCACTGTAGCCTCATTAGTAAATTGAACCGGTGTGTTAAGGAAAACAAAAGTAAAGAAGGAAAAAAACAATAACTCACAATTCAAGAAATGTGCATGTCTGGATTTATCTTGATTTACTGATATGATTAAATTAAGTGTTGATTATTCTCTCTTCAACAGTCTTAAGCGGTGATGGTTTAAATATTATTGGATGTGACATGAAGGATGTGCTAATCAATCTTGAAATGCAAAATGTCCCTGTCAGGTAAGACGTTTAGTTTATGTAAAACAAATTTAGATTCAACAAATGGTTTTTGATTCTTATTCATATTTTATATCGCTATTCTTCTCAAAGATATGCAGCACCTTTCAAGACCATTAAGAAGTTAGATCACAGTTATGAGAAGACCTTGCAGAAGCCAGAACCACAAACACCTCAAGAGAGAGAGACTTTCCTTACTAAAGCATTCCCTGCGAGCTTCCAATGGGCCACATCATCAGAATCTTTTAAGGTTGAAGGCGCATGGGCTGCAGACGGGAAGGGAGAGACAATCTGGGATCGTTTTGGTCATGAAAACCAGGCCTTTAATAATCATACTGTTGACACTGCATGTGACAGTTACAGAAAGGTTGATGTAGATGTCTACCTCCTGCGAGGCCTTGGAGTCAACACCTACCAATTTTCCATCTCCTGGGCCCGTGTTTTCCCCTCCGGTTATAGAGCCAGCATGTCAAATGAAGGGGTTCTCTACTATAACAATTTGATCAATGCTCTTGTGGAGTCTGGCATTCGGCCTGTTGCCACTCTCTACCATTGGGATCTACCTCAAGCTATGCAAGACGAGGGTGGATGGACCAAAGATTTCATTGTTGAAGCTTTTAAGGACTATGCCGACTTCTGCTTCAGCCAATTTGGAGACAGGGTCAAGGACTGGAACACATTCAGCAGCCCCTGGGTGGTGAGCCATGCAGGGTATGGCACTGGTGAGCATGCTCCTGGAGTTAAAGACTATGTTACTGCCTCTTATCAGGTAAATCTAGCTGTAACAATATTATACAACATTTTTAAACTCTGAATAAAATGTATATTAGCTAATACTGCTCCATTTTGTCTTACTGTTCCAGGTTACTCATAATATACTGAAATCCCATGCAGAGGCCTGGCATGTCTACAATGATAAATACAGAGGACCACAGGGAGGGAAAGTGGGCATTGCATTAAACTCAGACTGGGCTCAACCAGGTGACCCCATGAAACCTGAAGATGTGGCAGCTGCAGAGCGCTACCTTGAGTTTATGCTAGGCTGGTTTGCCCATCCCATATTCATAGATGGGGATTATTCTCAAGTTCTTAAAACTCAGATCGAAAAGAAAAAAACTGATTGTACAGGATCTGTGCCAGCAGTACTTCCAACTTTTACTGCTGAAGAGAAGGCGAGGATAAAGGGAACCTCTGACTTTTTCGGTTTAAACCACTACACTTCACGTTTGGTTAGCAGCAGCGTAGGTGGATGCGTCCCTGGTCCTCAGGGAGTTGGAGACTTCCGGGCATACGTAGACCCCTCATGGCCCACTACAGCATCAGACTGGATCGTCTCATTGCCATCAGGATTACGATCACTTTTAGCATACATTAAAAATAAATATCTGACAACTCATAATGTGCCCATTTACATAACTGGGAATGGCATGCCAACAGAATACAGTGGAGACCCCCTCAATGACACCAGTAGAATAGATTACTTGAGTGGTTACATCAATGAAGCCCTAAAAGGTTAGTGTCATTGTTTTTGTGGCAATGTGTGGCATCTTTTCAGCAGATTTAAAAGATATATAAATGTGCTATGTGTTTTCTGCTGATATTTTCCAGCAATTACAGACGATGGAGTGGATGTACAGCGATTCACAGTGCAATCGTTTATGGATGGATTTGAGGGAAAACAAGGGTACAGTGAAAGATTTGGACTTCTCCATGTTAACTTTGAAGATAGTTCCAGGCCGAGATCACCAAAACAATCAGCATACTTCTATGCTCAGATCATTGAACAAAATGGTTTTGTTTCACGTAAAAAAGTTAATGAAGTCTTTGAGGGCTTGAAAATATCACAAGCCCCCCGTCTCCCCCCGCTGCCGCCTTCAGAGGTTCCCTCAGCATCGAAGATTGTCTGGGAAAAATTTACACCACAGAAAAAATTTGATAGACAAATGTATCACTATGGAAATTTCTCAGAAGACTTCTTGTGGGGCGTTTCGTCTTCTGCATACCAAATTGAGGGTGGATGGAATGTTGATGGTAAAGGCCCTAGTGTGTGGGATACATTTACTCAAAGGCCAGGTAGTGGTATTCCTGAAGATGGTGTTGGAAATATTGCGTGTGACAGCTACAACAGACTTGATGAAGACCTATACATGCTGCGAGCTATGAATGTAAAATCATACAGATTTTCTTTGTCATGGTCCAGAATCTTTCCCAATGGTAGGCGTGCATCCCTGAACCAGAAGGGTGTTGACTATTATAACAGACTTATTAATGGCCTCTTGGCTCTTAAAATCACCCCAATGGTCACAATTTATCACTGGGACCTCCCACAAGCTTTACAAGATGAGGGTGGATGGGAGAAAGCGGAGATGATTGATATCTTTAATGATTATTGTGACTTTTGCTTCGCCACCTTTGGTGATAGAGTGAAATTCTGGATGACAATGAATGATCCTCAAGGGATTGCATGGCTAGGATATGGGACTGGAAAAATCCCCCCAAACATTAAGAAGCCAGGAACAGCCCCATACCAAGTTGCACACAACCTAATAAAAGCTCATGCCACAGCATACCACACATACGATGACAAATACCGTTCTTCACAAAAGGGAGTAGTATCAATTGCCCTCAATGCAGAATGGGTTGAACCTAAAGATATCACTGTCCCTCGTGAAATTACTGCTGCTGACCGCGCAATGCAGTTCCAGGTGGGCTGGTTTGCCCACCCAATTTTCAAAAATGGTGACTATCCAGAAGCCATGAAAGCTCAAGTTTTAGTGAAAAGCGAACTCCAGGGTCTGTCAGAGTCAAGACTTCCTTCTTTCACAGAGGAGGAGAAGAACTTAATTAAAGGAACTGCAGACATGTTTTGTGTTAATCACTACACCACCAGAATAGTTACCCATATTACAGGTGATATTACTACAGCGTCCTATCAAAATGACTGGGACTATTCAGAGGAGGAGATTGTTGATCAACCAACTACACCAATTGGATTCACAAGAGCAGTATCATTTGGCATAAGGAGGCTTCTAAATTGGATTAAGGAAGAATATGGAGATCCAGATATTTATGTCACTGAAAATTCAGTCTCCACTCCAAGGGACTGGGCTTGGGATGAGATTGACCGAGTCTTTTTTCACAAAACCTACATTGATGAGGCTCTTAAAGGTACACTAATATAAACAAAGTATCAGACAAAAATATATTTTGTGTTTTGCAGTAACTTGATAATTTATAACTAATATGTATTTTATATATTTATCTCAACAGCCTATGAACTCGATGGAGTCAAGGTAAAAGGCTATGCAACCTATCTAATGGATTCATTTCAGTTTCTTTATGGCTACATCTTTGGGTTTGGGCTACACCACGTAGACTTTAATAATCCAAACCGACCTAGATCACCGAAGTTTTCAGCACATGCTTACTACAACATTGTGAAGAATAATGGTTTTCCACGAACTGAAGATGAAACAATGTTATATGGACAGTTCAAGGAGGGTATGTTTTGGAGTAGTGCAACAGCATCATACCAGGTAAATATAAATGTCTATTGTTTATTGTCAAATAACAGTCAAAAATTTACTTCAGCAGGTAAAATTCCCAGGTTTAGACATTTGTATTCAGATGGTTTCAACAAGTTGTTTGATCATAGCTTCTCTCTTTGTTTTGAGTGTTGCCTAGATTTCCATTACCAGTTTCTAGGCAATGATTTGTAAGCTTTGACCAGCTAGTAGTATTTTAATTCATCTCTAGGTAATTGATGGCATTCCAAGTGCTATTTTCTAGATTTTCCTCTTTCAGCTAGGATTGAATTTGACAGTAAATATTAGGAACAGACAAGTTCATCGACATTGATGTTAAAAAGGGTGTATTATTATTTTGAGCCATATTCAGAAAGTTAAAGTCAAAGTTAATATTTAAATGTGATCCACAGGATCCTGTTTGAGTTAAATGTGAGGTCAAAACTGATTACTGTCAGGTTGGGTGGAGATTTGAGAGAAGGACCCAAATGCAGAGACTGAAGCTGAAAGTTGTTTCCAAATGCAGAGACTGAAGCTGAAAGTGGTTTCCAAATGCAGAGACTGAAGGTGGTTTCTTGCAGATTTATTCATCCAAAAAAGGCAACAGAGGCAAAAATCCAAAAACATAAATCCTCAGGATCCACAAAAATACAGAAAACCAGAAAGCTCAGATGAAGGGGAAGAAATAATGACAAACCAGAAAACACTGACTGAGCAAGAGCTGCATATATCAGAGAGAGAAACAAAGACCAGGCTAATGAGCAGATTGGTAACAGTTGTGAACAGATAAATCTAGAAGGGAGCTAGGGAAAAAGTAGACTAGCAAGATACCTAGGAACTCAAATACAATAAAAAATACCTGGAATAACACAAAATCGAAATAAAGCAAATGAAATTCAAAGATAAACAGAACCAAAACAATGACAGTTACTGTTCACATCAGTCTTGTTTTTTATTACCTGAAGTATGTGCTCCAGATACCAAAAACCTTTCCTTTCCATAAGAATATTTTTTTGTAAGTTAAACCAGAGGGATAAAATTAAAAATTTTACTTACATTGAGTCCCAGAGCACCATTTCCTTCACAAAATGTTGTTTTGATTTGGCATTTTCAATATTCAATAAAAATGCAAAGAAAACAAACGTTCTAAAAGAACTTCCTGGGGTTCTTTTGGAATAAAAATATGTGGAGAAAAAGAAGGAAGATTTTTAGATTTTCTTTTGGTTAATTGCACTTTTTAGGATTTTATTTAGTTAAAATAGACTTATTCCACACAAATGATTAAAATATGGAATTATAGGGTTGTAATGATGTGTTATATATTAAAATGCTTCAAAAAATTGCTCTACATTCCATTTAAAAATGTAATATACCCTCGTCAATCTGTTCTATGGTAAGTACTAAAGGTTTAAACAGATATAAATTACAAGTTAGGTTTTTTATGTCTTAATCTTTGTTTATCACCTCTAACTCAAGAAAAGCTCATATAATCACAATTATTAGAAAAGTACACATAACCTAATTTACCTATTTCCAGATTGAAGGGGCATGGAGAGAAGATGGAAAAGGTCTCAGCATTTGGGACAAATTTACACACACTCCTGGAAAAATATCACAGCATGACACTGGAGACTTTGCATGTAACAGTTACAATAAGCTGGATGATGACATTGCAGCACTGAAGAAACTCCAGGTGTCTCACTATCGATTCTCTATATCCTGGCCGAGGGTGATGCCTGATGGTACTACCAAATATATCAATCAGGCTGGCCTTGATTACTATAATAAAGTGGTGGATGCCCTCATTGCTGCAAATATTCAGCCTCAAGTATGTTTTTCTTTTTCTGGGAAAGAAATTGGTGAAGGAAAAGTGCTTTTGACTTTTTTACTGACTGTTTTCTTTTGGGTCAGGTCACTTTGTACCACTGGGATCTCCCACAAGCTCTACAGGATGTTGGAGGTTGGGAAAATGAGACTATCATTGAAAGATTCAAAGACTACGCAGATGTCATGTTTAAGAATCTTGGTCCAAAAGTGAAACTTTGGATCACTTTCAATGAGCCGTTCATAATAACAGTTTTAGGCCATGTCCAAGGAGCACATGCCCCAGGTATGCAAGATGTTCTTAACTGGAAAAAAAGTTTCTGCTGAGTGTTTGAACTGAGTGTGTCAAGGCCTTTTCTCAGGGAATATCTTCTAAGGATGAAAATATCTGCACTTATCAACAGAAGCTTTGGATCCATTTTTTGCAAGAAAATCATCATCCAAAATTACATTTTTTTATATTTCCAGGTTTTAGTGACCGACCAGATACTCTGCCATACATTGTAAGTCATAATATCATTAAGTCGCATGCGGAGGCATGGCATGTGTACAATGACAAATATCGAGCCTCACAAAATGGAAAGGTCGCCATCACTGTAAACTCAGACTGGGCAGAGCCCAGGAATCCCTACAAACAAGAGGACTATGAGGCTGCACGAAGTGTGGTTGAGGTAAGTATTCTTATAATTAACACAAAAACCTTATGTGACCTTGTCACTTAATAATACTGTGTGTTATTCTGTACAGTTTTATCTTGGCTGGTATGTCCATCCCATCTTTAATGGTGACTACAGCCCGCATGTGAAGAGATCTGTCCTAGAACAAAGTCTTGCAGGAGGTTTGACAAAATCCAGGTAAAATACTTGGGTTAATTTAGATTATGCTCTCCTGTTTATTGAATAATCTCCATGCAAGTTATTTTTTCCTCTGAATACACCCACTGAAGTTTTCTGTCTCACATAGTCTGCTTGAATTTTTCTCTTTAAGGCTGCCTGAGTTTACTCCTGAGGAAATTAAAAGAATTAATGGCACTTATGATTATTTTGGATTAAACCATTACTGCAGTGTGTTGGCATTCCCTGTCGACTTTGGAACAACTCAGCACTATGAGGCAGACAGGTGAGGTTCTTGGCTTTACTGTAAAACTGTTTCAAAAGCCACCTTCATGTTGAAATAATGTATATACTGTATATATATATATTTTTTCCAAATATTTCTAAAATTGTCCATGTTTTTTTTTTGGTTTAAGCTCATAACTATTTATCTTTCACAGGGGTGTGGTTGTTATTAGTGATCGTACCTGGATAGAATCAGGTTCCAGTTGGCTCAAGATGACACCATTTGGCCTCCGCAGATTGCTTAGATTTATTAAGGAGGAGTACAGAAATCCTCCCATAGTCATTACAGAGAATGGCGTCTCAGAAAATGGGCCAGTTGATCTGAATGACGTTCACAGGAAATACTATTATGAACAGTATATCAACCAGGTGCTAAAAGGTATGACATCAACCTAATTAAATATACAATATTTAAGATCACAGAAACACTATACCTAATTTATTTTATTATTGTTCAGATGCTTGAACCCAGTGATTCAGTTTGTAGGCTTGATTGAGTTTTCTTTCTCATGCAGCTTATTTGATTGATGGTGTGAATATCATTGGCTACACTGCTTGGTCACTGCTGGATAACCTGGAATGGGCGGTTGGCTATACAGAGAGATTTGGACTTTTCTACGTCAATCGTTCAGACCCTGATTTTACTCGAACTCCCAAAGCTTCTGTGTCCTATTACTCTTCGATCATCAGATGCAATGGATTTCCTAACCCAGCAGATGGACCGCATGAGTGTTGGAACCCTAATGCTGAGCCAACGACTGAGCCAACGACTGGGCCAACAACTAAGCCACCAGGTAAGTAATTGGTACTGTTGAAAGTAAATAGGTTCAGTTTTCAGAAAATAACATACAAAGTCTATTATTCATTTAGATTAGCCTTATTAATTAGGATAAACCAAACAACAGAAGTGAGCCCTTTCATTTGCATGTATTGTTTCAAAAATGTATGTTTAGATGAATTTTGTTAACAGCCTAAAAGTTGGTAGTAAAACTTTGTGTATCTTTTTTCCACAGTAACAAAAGAGCCCATTGATAATTTGAACTTCCTGGGGTTGAAGCTTTCTGCCAAAGAAGCTGAGACTGGTTTTAATGTGACATTTGCTTTGCTCATCGTGGCAGTGACTGCTGTGATTTGTTTGTCCATTGGCATCTTCTTAGCTTTAAGAAAGTCCAGAAAATAGGATTTCTAATTATACCTTCAACATCTTAAATGCAGATATTTGAGCATCTGAATATTTCTCAACTCAAGATTTACATTTAAGAATCTAAATCATGAATTGAATACCACCTCCACAAACAAGTTAAAAGCTAACTAATATGTTATAGTAATATACCTGAAAGAAAAAATTGTGTTTATGTAACCAGAAATGTTTTTGTTTAGTGGGTGGTTTCTTGGTATGAGGTTCTCCCTTTGAGAGGCTGAAAGAGGAACCTATTTTTTTTTTTTTTTTTTTTTGTGCTACTGCTTGTAATGTTTGAATATTGTTTGTGCTTCTCTGTTGTACCATATGTTCATAAAAAAAACCCCTAAAAAACCAAAACAGGTTGACAATTACAGTTAAAATCCTAACATATTTTCTTAAAGATCAAATTGAATCTTTAAAAAAACCCTGGTTTTACTAATAATGATTACAAAGTATCATGTGTGGAATGAGATATCTAATGGAACAACACTGTATATGTTTAGTTTCCTAAAATTACTAATTTTTAAGTCTGTAATTTTTAAGAACCCTTGTTGAAAGTCCTTGATTGACATAAAGAGTCAACTGATAACTGGTCTGTATTATTGTCCTTGAAGAGTTGTATTCAATAAAAGTTATTATAAGTTACATTACTTGTGAGTTTTTACTTAAAGCTTTGGTACTGTATTTGCTATAGTTAGATTTGCCCTTTGAGAAAAAGTTGCAATATTTTCTCAATGTTCTTTATCAATTTAGATTCCTTTTTATTATTTTCCCCCTAATTTTACTCCAACTCCTCATAGTCTATCATTAGGCCATGTTTCTAAGTCATTTTGGTCAAATATACTTTTTAAGAAAGCAAAGAATAGATTCATACACTGAACAATAACAAGAAAATTATAATCAAAAAGTATGGCAGATATTAAATTTTTTGAAAAAGAAGCAGTTAGAGATGTTGATATACAGCACATTACCACTGGAACGCAGATTCATAGAAAAAACAACTATCTGATTTTATTTATACCTTACTGATACCACAATACACTGGTTTTAATCCTATTCAATATCTGCATGCTATCCTTAGCTCAGATTATAGTACTGCAGGCCAAAATGTTATAAACCTATTAATATAGGGAGTTTACTTAGGTCTGGTTGCTTTGTTTGCAAATGCAGGTACTAAACAGCTTGATTCTGTTAATAGGGAAGTGGTTTCCAGGAAAAAAACAAATGTTCCCAATGTTCCCCTCGCCAGATTATATCTAACTGGATAAAATTATTCCAGCACTCATATATGTGCGGAAGAGAAACAGTGGCAAAAGGCTTGTTAGACTCTGTCTCCTGCTACAGGAAAGGAGGGGGGCTGGAACAGTAAGATGTTTAGGAAAGAACTTCATTGGCTGAGAGCATTCATATTTTTTTGGAGTAATTGTATTAATTGCTGTCATTCTGTGATAGGTTGAAAATTCTTGAAGATGTGACTATGGCAGCTGTTAATTAAAAGGAATTTTACCGTTTGGCACATAAGAGATGACTGGTGTTGAATATGTGTCTCCCACAATAGCAAACAACAGGATCAGTCATGCAGACGATACTCAGCTTTACATTACAATGTCACAAGGTGAATATGAACCCATCAGAAAGTTGGCTAGATGCATTCTAGACTAATGTCCAGGGAGGAGCTAGAAAAACTAATTCATGCATTTATCTTTAGTAGAATTGATTGCTGCCATTGTCTTTATAATGTAGGTTTGCTCAAAAAGTCCATCAGACAGCTGCAGCTGATTCAAATCGCTGCTACCTGTGTTCTCACTAAAACTAAGAAAGTAGAACACATCAGCCCAGTTCTGAAGTCCTTAAACTTGCTCCCTGTAGCTCAGAAAATAAACTTTAAGGCTGTTTTCAGACATGTTTAATGTGCACCTTAGTGTGACTCCGAGTGCTAGAATGAAACACTGTTTAATTTTTCAGGTAGTGGAGTTTTTGTCACTCTGGATCAAACAACGCATGACAAACTGTAGAAATTCTGAGCCACTGTTCAAAAAGTAGGAAAAAAAATGTATCAACTTTCATGATGGAAACTCAGGTGCACTGATTGTTGGCAAAAGGAAATGAAGAAGGGCTGTGGCGACAGATCTCAGACTTCAGTCAGTGCAGGTTGGACAGGACACCTCTAATGTCATCACCCTAAGGCTCCCCTCAGGCCTGTAGTCCTTACTGCAGCCTTGATAAAGGTAAGCAGTAGTGATAATGTAAACATACTGTATGACTTTGTAGTTACAGTTCCAACATTCAGCTTTTTTTTTTTATATTCCCATTTTATATAACATTCAGCAGTCTAATGGCAGTGGGGAAGAAACTGTTCTGGAATCTGCTGGACCTGCATCAGATGCTTCGAAGTCTCTTTCCAGAGGGCAGGAGGGAGAACAGTCCATGTTGGGGGTGTGAGGGGTCATTTATAATGTTCACGCAGCGCTGGAATGAAATGTCTTTAATGGAGGGAAGAGGAGCCCCGATGATCCTCTCTGCTGTTCTACCACTCTTCTCACTTTCTTACAGTCTGAGGCACTGCAGCCTCCACACCACACAGTGAGACAGCTGGTCAGAACGCTCTCTATGGTGCTTCTGTAGAAGGTGGTGAGATGGGTGGGGGCAGGTGGGCTCTCCTCATCCTCGGCAAGACATGCAAGTACATGCGCTTTTTTGCCCTTTTGATCAGTGAGGTGGTGTTTACAGTCCAGTTGAGGGTGTCTGTAATGTGCACCCCCAGGAATTTGGTGCTGCTGACCACCTCTGCAGCTGAGCTGTTGTTGAGCAGTGGAGCATGGTTAGGGCAGTTCTTCCTAAAGTCAACAATGATCTCCTTCATGTTCTCCATGTTCAGGATCAGGCAGTTATCTCTGCACCAGCCCACCGGCTGCTCTGCTTCCTCTCTGTAGTTCTGTTCGTTGTCGTCTCTGATGAGGCCAACCCCCATGGTGTCGTCTGCAAACTTCACGATGTGATTGGTGATGAACCTGGGGACACAGTCATATGTCATCAGGGTGAACAGAAGGGGACTCAGGACACAGCTCTGAGGGGAGCCTGTGCTTAGGATGATAACATCAGAGGCGTTCTGTCCAACCTGGACTGACTGAGGTCTGTTGGTGAGGAACTCTAGCAGCCAATTGCAGAGGGGCCCACCTGCCCCCACCCATTCTCATGATCTTCTACAGAAGCACCATAGAGCGCTACATGTCCCAAGCCCTTAACATTATAAATTACCCCTCACACCCCCACCATGGACTGTTCTCCCTGCTGCCTTCTGGGAGGAAGCTTTACAGCATTTGATGCAGGTCCAGCAGGTTCTCTAAGGTTCTGCCCATCCTCTTTGTATGTGGTAGGTCTTTTCTTGGGTGGCCGATCTTTTAAAAAATAAAATGCAAAGCATCTTTTTCTTTTTAGTGAACTTCCTAATTGTTTGTGAGGCAAACCTGAAAGCTTTAAGAATTTAGATATTTGTGTTGGTTAGTTAGTGCTAAATTCCAATGGTAGATTATTCAACTAGACTGAGCAATAATTATTTAGCCTGTGACCAAAACAGGGACTAAAACTGGGACTGAATCAGGGGGCCAAACTAGAGTAAAGAAGGAGTAAAGCTTAGTAAAAAAAAAAAAAAAGCACTGGATGTAGAGAAAAGAAACCATTTGATGTCAGTTTGATGTGATTTACAAAAGTAATGATCATAGTCCAGATAAGATACAGATAAGATAAAAGTTTAAAATTACATACCTTGTAATAACTGCTCAGAAATCCTGGTATTTTTAAATACCTGGCACAGGCCCCTCAGCTGTGTTGCTGTCAGCACAGTGAATAGGTGGGCTGTGGCAAAAATACAGACTTGGCATGAACCTGGCATGTCCTTGTGTGTTAGCACTAAGGTTGTGTGCAAATGCAGACTCGATTTTTATCACTATGGTATTTTTATACAAGTGGAATGGAGTTGAGTTTTAATGTCCATCATTTCATAGCATGGAAAATTGGGGTTATGGAGTGTGAACGTTACCTAAACTTTTAGCTTTAGTCAGTTTTAGCTGTTAGCTTGGAGGTATTCCAGGCTAATTTTTACTGCTAGTTGGATACCTTACAGCTAAAAAGTATAAAACCCAGAAAAAATGTAATTGTACTCCACTGCTCTGGTGACCCAAACCTACGCCAAAAAAGACCAAAGTTAGACTTCCCCATAACCTGCAACATGCCAGCATCAGCTCTCTGTGGAAGCCAGAACCTGGACTCAATACTGACCAATGATTATTGATTAGGTTTTATACCAAACTGTTACTATTTTAAGAGTTCAAAAATGCAATGAAGTAAAATAAAATAAAGTATATCAAAATAAACTTGCTTTGCATTGCCTTATTGTTTCAAAAGAACAATAAACAAGTGTCTGACATATCCATCTAGATCAGTGTTTTTCAACCCTGGTCCTCAAGGCACACTGCCCTGCATGTTTTAGATGTTTCCCAGCTTTCACACACCTGTTATCAATTGATAGCAGATTATCAGGCTTTGTTGAACTGCAATAATCTGAATCAGGTGTGCTGAACCTCAGAAACTTCCAAAACATGCAGAGCAGGGTGCCTTGAGGACCAGGATTGAAACACACCGATCTAGATCACATGCCTAAGGGTTGCTCATATCTCGATACGACTTTCAACCTCCTCTTTGAAGGTTACTGTCAGTCAAACACTTGCTATTTTATCTTAGATAGGAAAAACACTTTGCCTTTCTCATCAGATTTAAGTCCCAAGGTCAGTTTACCCTGACTAGAGCCAGTTGTTAGAAGCCTCTGTGGGACATATGTCCAACATGATCACTGACATTTGCTTCTGATACAAATAATAATTTTCCCCCTGGATCTTTTATGCATTGTTTGTCACCTTAAATTGTCCTTAAACATAAAGTAGATTTCAAATGATCAAGGCTGCAGTTTGGGGATATTTGAATGTGAGCAATTGCAAGGGTTTAATTTTCTGTAACACAAGGCCTGCATGTTCAACAGAGGGATTGCCTGTGGACATCTGCTTTGTTTCTTGTTTACTACATGTTCAGGCACTAAGGAGGGTCTTTTATTGAAAAGTTATCACTAGAATTTGTAGTCCTGATTTCATTAAATCTTTCTAATCTATGTAATTATGTCTGACACTTGAAAACAGGAGAAATACATTACAGTTAGTTTTCTTTTCTTTCTTTTTCATTAGCATCTTGCAGCAGCACATTTCAGGCTCCTTAGACTACACCAGGATGCTGTAATCAATTAGATGAGTCCAGAGTCTTCACAAGTACAGTATATCACTGCAATAAAGCACTTATCAAACCCTAATTGTGCAACTATGATATGCGTGCAAAATGTTTTCTCTAAATAGCTTTGCAATCAGTTTTGTGTCAGTCTGATCTTCACAAGTCACAATGAGCAGGTTGCTGTGGCTTGTGTGTCTCTATCTTTTATTTGTGATTGGTGGATGGAGCAGTGAGGTGAAGAGTGAAGACGACTTTATGCTTCTTGCTGGCCCTCTGACTGAGAAGCAGATAAGCGCATCCAGTGGTGAGGAAAATGTTGTATTTGACTGCAGTCATCCCATACCAGCTGTTTCTAAACAATATTTTGAGTACCTCAAGACCAGAGGAGTGACACACTTCAAAGTTCCTCTCTCATGGACCAAACTTTTGCCAAATGGCCTTGCAAGCAAGCCTCAACAGGCTGTGGTAAGATGTTACCAGACCCTGCTAAAGCAACTACTGGAGGAAGACTTGCAACCCGTCGTCATTCTTCATGGATCATCAGTTCCAGATTCTTTGAGGTCCAGGTATGGAGGTTGGGAAAGTCAGAAGCTGTTACAGATGTTTCAGCACTATGCAGAGTTTGCCTTGAAAGAGTTTGGTCCACTGGCCCATTCATGGGTGACAGTTAGTGACCTGGAGGAGGTATTTTTTGAAGGCCAGTCTGCAGATGATCATAGTCTTCTGCAAAACTTCATTCAGCTCAACAAGAAGATTCACCAGTTTTACCATCAGAACTTCCCTGATAAGAGTAAGTGAACTTTTCCTATCTAAAAAAATCATTAATAGTAGACAAAATTGTAATTTTAAGTTATTTTGAGTATTAATCAACTACACATTTGGGAAATTGTTGTTGTTTTTCCATGACCATAAAAAAAGAAATAGAAAATCTCATCCCCAGCTCATTTTGACTATACACTGTCATACTTTGCTTCTTTGCAGATTTTGCAAAATATTCTAATATTCTATATAATTCCAGTAATCAGCCCCTGTGAGGTTGATTAAGTTATCTCCTAAGCATCGGATTGTTCAGTTTTGCCAAAAGTAGAGTTGAGTAGAGTAAAACATGCCACTAGCTAATAAGAGATTTTGGCTTGACTATTAATAGAGAATCGTTTTTCTTTTGTGTTTTGCAGAGAACCGCGTGTCCTTTGGGTTGAAAGCAAGAAATGTGGATCAAATTTCACATCTTGGAGCTTTAACAGCTGTAAGGGTTTTCTTCTGTATATACAGTTCACACCAACGCTAAAGGCTTTTTTGCCGAATCCCAAATTGAATCCCAAACAGCAAAGCACAATCAAATAATGATCAATTTCAGTGAAAACATGATAATATCTTGGACATTAGTCCGAGATAAAATTGTTGGCGTACTTGGTTTGTATCTTTTTTTAGTTTATTCTAAAAATGCCTTTAAATAATATTTAATAACATCAAATGGAGGTTGTAGAATTATCAGGATGCCAATAGATTTAATCTTTGTCAATGAAAGTGTCTTAACTGAAGGTATAAACCCATGAAAAGATAATTTGAAATAAAAAAAGCATAGCTATTGGGGGTGTAAAAAAACCCATAATCATTTCAGAAGAAGTGATGACACTGGGTTCATGGAAGGTAGAAGAGGCTAGATCAACTTGTCAGGAAAAATGATAAATTCTATGTCCTTTGTTTTTTTACAAATGGGTGGCAGATCACTGACTACACCCTAAAGCAAAAGCGCACGTTTTATTCTCTAAGTTTTTTTAAATACAAGTTATACATCTCTAAAAAAGCAGCGTATGATGGACATAAAATGGTGAGTCCACAAATGCGAATGTGTATAGAGGATTGGGGCGTCCAGTTTACATGCAAAGTCTCAGGTGGAAGGGCATCAAATGGTGTGAAGAGGTCCTCTGGTGCTTTTTGAGCATTGGTAGCAGCGCACTTTGAGAGTTGAAGTGTCAAGCACGTCCAAAGTTGCCAACACCAACTCTTATTTTGTACAGTTTGATGCAGTTTCTGCTAATCAGAGGAGCTGATTCAGGAGTTGTCTGGGAGACATATACCTAATTGAAACCATGATCTCTCCACTTGTGAAGCTGTTAAAAAAACTAGGAAAAAAATAACACATATATAAAATGGTTAAACTCCAGTAATTTTACATAAAAAGCCAGAATGTATTCTTTTAAAGTAAAACCAGGAGTACTCTGATCAGTAATCTACTAAAATACTTTCCTATTAAACTGTGGAAAAACAGTTTTTACTTCTACTTTATATTTGGGAACTTTCAGTTTTTACCACAAACCTAAAAAAAGCTTTATATACACTTAGACGCTACGATCTCCAAGTAGTTGGTGTTACAGCAGGAAATATCTGAAAGGCTGGTCTTCCATCCAAATAAAGGGGGCCTGCCACATATTTAAAACTTGGATTATACTAATGAACTCACTGCAAATATTTTGTTTTGAGTTTTACTCTTTTGCATAAAAACCAGTTAAAATGATTTTTTCCCCAACTCATCACAGCAAATAAATCTGGTCAATATTCTATTTAAATGCCTCCTCTAACTGTTTCAGAAGGTGCTCTCTATAAAGGATGATGTTTTAGTATTTCGTGGGCTATAAATACCAACATTGTACAAAAATACTTTGTGGGAACAAATTAGTAATTGGTGTATGAATTAGTATTAGAATATATCACATTTTTCCCCATATCAGTTACCAGGCTGCATGTTTTATGAAGTTACTGAAGTGAAAAATTGTAAGGAGTATGACTTTCACTGACTCTAAGACTGCATCAAGTAAATAACAGATAGTGGAATAAATTAGCACATCACCATCTATAACAATTCACACAATTATTGATATAGAGATAAGATTAACTTTATAATCCCCATGAGTGAAAATGTAATAATTTTGGGTTAATGTTAAACCTCTAGTGACATTAATTTCTTGAGGATAAATATTAATTGCAATTTTTTCTTTATTTAAGAATTCTATCAATAATAAACATGTAATAGAACTGGAACAATTAAAGGACATAAATATTTATACACTCACTCTAGACATAATAAAGTACAATAACATACACTCTATTGTATATGCACAGGAGGAGGATGTAAAAAAAAAAGGTGATAAAGTATTTTTGTATTGTAGCTATCTGATAATGTATGTATCCTTAGACATAATGGCTATCTAGAAATATACTTTTTGGGGCTTGGCAATTAATTAATTCAAAGCCAAGAAAAAAAAATGTATCATTGCTTTCTATAGTTTTTTTTTTTCTCTCTGCTATATACAAAGCCTGATGTTTAACTAAAGTACACACACTGAACACATACAAAGGAAAATGCTGCAACTAGCAAAAGGAACTGCAATTCAGAAAAGCTGCAAACTATGTCTACATAAGAATCACAAAAGGAGACAACCATCAACTCATACTTGGGCAGACTCTTAGTAAAGGCAAAACCTTGATGCTCAGAGAGATTAAGTCAGGGATGTGAAATCATAATTCAGAGCATACTACTCTTGTATTTACTCCCGTCTATTTAGTATTTTAGCCCTGCTGTATACTTTTAAAGAACAAACTCTACTTTATGAGCCTTTATCATGCTTTTTGGCTCTTGAGAGGTTCCAGCAGGTTTACTAAACCTACTAAATCAGGGAAACTGAGTTTTCCATTTTACAAAGAGAGTTTACTCAACCTCTATTTCTGTTGCCGTAGTTTCCTCTGTCTCCGCTCTCCTTGTTGTTTTATTTCCAGATTTAGTCAGGAGATGTTTCTTGTAGTTTCATGCAAACAATTAGAAATAAAAATCATACAAAAGGTCCGTCACAGATATTAGGTTTTGAAAACAAACATTGCATGTCATTTTATGCGGATCCTATTGAAGAATGGCTAGCATTAATTCACAGAGAACTCATTTGACAGGATACAAGATTTATTTGTATTTGGTTTGTTTAATATGAGCAACATGCAGATCTTTTTGTTTTATTTCCTTTTTTTTTTTTTTTTTTTACAATACATGAACTACTGAAGTTATTTTCAGATTACACATAAATAGATTAATTTAAAAACAATTTGAAAAATGAATTATTTCAGGGTTAGGATTAGGATTCATTCCTTGATAACCTACCGAGCCTACTGGTAGGTAGGAGGCACAATCTTAAGACATTCTATCTGACTGATAACCGCTAATAATGGCCATTTAATGGGATGATAACATCCGAAGCAGCTGGAAACGCTCAGTATTTACTGTGTGATGGAAGTGTGATGGAACCCAATGTGGTGATGCACAGTTCCTACCTGTTGGAGCAACCTTTTTATACTTTACTTTCACATGCAGACAGATGATCCATCCATCCATCCATCCATTTTCTTTACATGCTTGTCCCGAGTGGGGTACTGGTGCCTATTTCCAGCAGTCAATGGGTGAGAGGCGGGGTACACCCTGGACAGGTCGCCAGTCTATCGCAGGGCAACACAGAGACACACAGGACAAACAACCATTCATGCACACACTCACACCTAAGGACAATTTAGAGAAGACAATTAACCTAACAGTCATGTTTTTGGACTGTGGGAGGAAGCCAGAGTACCCGGAGAAAAACCACACATGCTCAGGGAGAACATGCAAACTCCATGCAGAAAGACCGCGGGCCGGGAATCGAAGCCAGAACCTTCTTGCTGCAAAGCAGCAGTGCCACCCACTGTGCCACTGAGCAGCCCCAGACAGATGATTTCACCTAAATTTTCAACTAAATAGATACATTGATCCTCTACCATTCAAGCAATAAACTAGTGTTATCATGGTTACAGCTAACTATGACAGGCTGTTTTCATATAAACTTGTTTGACTGAATATATATTTCTGATATCTGAAAATAAATAGCTCTCATGTCAAAATTACCATTTCAAACAAAATTACATTCTTTACACCTAAAATAAGCATTTTGGATGTCTAGAAAGGAATTTCAGATCTCCATAGTCATATTGTTACTGTTCAGCATTTGTATTATTTGGACGATCAATGAATGTATCTCAGATACATAAATACATATTCACTCTAAGCTGATAAATATCAAAATGGCCACTTTAAATGTGTAAAAATTTCTGGCTATGTAAAACTTCATTCTCACTGGTACAATTTTGTTTTTCCACTTGCTGAAATTCATTTATACAATATTACAACTGGAACAACAGAAAGAAAAATGCTTTTAATAAACGTAAAAATGGTCTACTATAACAGACTACATATAAACTTATACCTTAACTTGAGCAGCAAACTTCTCCTTTGCCATTCTCCTATCTTTTGCAGTTGTAGTGCTGTTTTTCTGTATTTTAAACACTTACTCCCTTTATTTCTTTATTTTTCTCAGTAAAATCTCTAGTTCCACTGGGGTGAAATTGGCACTTCGAATCTCTCAAAGTCTCGTTGAATTGGGGATCCAGTAATAATGGGTTTTCATACATTTTACTTGCATGCTCAACTCTGAGTGGACCTACTTAGAGTTGATTAAACTAACTCACAGCAGCTTTTTTGAAGCTGAAAACTCAAGTTTCCAACCCTAGATCAAATCAGAGATGAGGGTTTGAGTCTGAGTTTGTAAAACCTGTTTTGTTAAATAGACCCCAGGTCCGTTCGTTGTAATTTCGATGGGTGTTACATGAGTGTTGATGATCTCCTCCCTGTAGTGGTCAGGAGAGTCTTTGTGAATACAGGCCATTGAGATTGCCAAACAAACAGAAATAGAACATAAATTAAGTTTTAGGTACAACATAAAACTTAATTAAACTGCATGTGAGACTGGAGAACTTTTATGACAATTGATCTCCTTTTTTTTGTAAATACATGGAACCAGAGAGAAATTGACTGCTCGGCCACAGTTCAAGTACATGGGTACAACATTGTTTGTGTACAGATAAGATATGAAAGTAGGAAAGGACAAAATGGAAGTGGTACAACACTGGAAGGATGTGTTGACCTTTAGACTTGCTATGCAAAACATTAACAGATAAAAAAACAACAACAACAAACTCCTAACATATCATGTGGATTTAATTGTTGGTAACAAAAAAGCAGACCTAAAGTGACTTAAGCCCATAGCAATTTCCAAATGATATTGTTTTTTTGGTAAAATTAACACTGAAAGAAAGGAAGCAAATTGAATAAATAACTATTAGTGGGAATTGTCCCCAATTGTGAAGAACTGTTCCTTGTGAAGATTCAACTTTGATGTGCCCACAGAGTTTTGCGTTTGAAGGAAAATTTATTTATATTCAATTTTTACATCTGTTATGGTTACAGAATAAGCCATAGTGGTTTTTCAAAAAGTAAATTTCTCTAAGAATCACAAGACACTTCACAGACGGTTATCTCATGTTTTCCTTAGGTGGATTTCTTGTCAGTGAACTTGGAATATAACTGTGCCTCCTCAGAAACCTTTGGACAACAGCTGAGAAACTTGCAGGTACTCACAACTTTTAGTGTTTTAAGAACAAAAAGTATTCTTTCACTCTTGAGTTTCTTTGTTATAACACAATGCTGTGTTCTAGATATCCAATGGGAATTTGCCAATCTTACTCTATAAACTGACAGTTCATGACTGCATCTTGAGTGAACACCAGCTTCTTGGGGATTTTTTACAAGGTATGTGTCATTGTAGCAAACACAAATTTTTTGTTGTTTCAAAATCAATGAGATGAGAAATCCAAGAACTACTGTAGAATACTTTAAGCATTGTTTTTTCAAAACAGTACAAATAGTGCAATATTATTATAGATTCCAAACGGTTATTTGATGAAAATAAAAAGGATTTTTCTAACATTTATTCATGTGATATTTGAAAGAAAATGGCAACTCTTCCATAAAGCAAGTATAAGGACTTCTAAATCTCTCCAATAATGTTTCACAGTACAATTAAAATTTATGACTTTAAAGGAGTGGCCCTTTATAGCCCTACTCATTATATTATAGCACTAATCGGTAAACCACTAATCAGTCTTTTTATCAGTCGGATAATATCTTCAAGAAAAGCAACATGCAAAGTGGAGACAGACCTTTGAGCTGCTTATTTATAATTGTTAAACAGTATTTACAGCTGGAGTATGATCAAAGCTGAATAGATAAAAATCAATGTGAAAGTATTGTATTTTAAAGCTTAGGCTAATGTTGTATAAATAACACATTGGTGAACTTCATAAAGATTATTCTTATATTTTTCATTCAAAAGGAGGGCTGTACTATTCCTCTGTCAGTCAAAAATGAAATCTGTTCTCTTGCTTTTCCATCCTGTGGCAGTTTTATCTAGCAATAGCGTGGATTTTGTTGGATTGGACACGAATGAAGTGTTAAACAAGCTTGACATACAGGATGTTCCAGTTAGGTGAGACACATTGTTTTAAATAGTTTGCCATATGTGTTTTCTCTTAGAATTTGCTCAGCTTTTATCATTGTTGCTCAAAGTTTGTTATTAACAAGGATTTCATCAGCAGGTCCAGATTTATAAATAGTTATGAAAACACCCTGCAAACATTTGGGAACAACACTCGTGATGATAAAGGTCTGTTGCCCACTAAAGCATTTCCTCCAGACTTTCAATGGGCCACATCATCAGAATCTTTCAAAGTTGAAGGAGGCTGGTTAGAAGGGGGGAAAGGAGAGACCATCTGGGATCGTTTTGGTCATGAAGGCCAAGCATATGAAAATCAGACTGCTGACCTCGCTTGTGACAGTTACAACAAGGTCGATGTAGATGTCTTCCTCCTGCGAGGCCTTGGAGTCAACACCTACCAATTTTCTATCTCCTGGGCCCGTGTTTTTCCCTCTGGTTATAGAGCCAGCGTGTCAAATGAAGGGGTTCTCTACTATAACAATTTGATCAACGCTCTTGTGGAGTCTGGCATTCGGCCTGTTGCCACTCTCTACCATTGGGATCTTCCTCAAGCTATGCAAGACGAGGGTGGATGGACCACAGATTTCATTGTTGAAGCTTTTAAGGACTATGCTGACTTCTGCTTCAGCCGATTTGGAGACAGGGTCAAGGACTGGAACACATTCAGCAGCCCCTGGGTGGTCAGCCATGCAGGGTATGGCACTGGTGAGCATGCTCCTGGAGTTAAAGACTATGTTACTGCCTCTTATCAGGTAAATCTAGCTGTAACTATATAATACAACATTTTTAAGCTTTGAATGAAATGTGTGTTAGCTAATACTGCTTTATTTTGTCTTACTGTTCCAGGTTACTCATAATATACTAAAATCCCATGCAGAAGCCTGGCATGTCTACAATGATAAATACAGAGGAACACAGGGAGGGAAAGTGGGCATTGCATTAAACTCAGACTGGGCTCGACCAGGTGACCCCATGAAACCTGAAGACGTTGCAGCTGCAGAGCGCTACCTTGAGTTTATGCTAGGCTGGTTTGCCCATCCCATATTCATAGATGGGGATTATTCTCAAGTTCTTAAAACTCAGATTGAAAAGAAAAGAAGTGATTGTGCTGGATCTGTGCCAGCTGTACTTCCAACTTTTACTGCTGCAGAGAAGGCGAGGATAAAGGGAACCTCTGATTTTTTCGGTTTAAACCACTACACTTCACGTTTGGTTAGCAGCAGCGTAGGTGGATGCGTCCCTGGTCCTCAGGGAGTTGGAGACTTCCTGGCATACGTAGACCCCTCATGGCCCACTACAGCATCTGACTGGATCGTCTCATTGCCATCAGGATTACGATCACTTTTAACATACATTAAAAATCAATATCTGACATCTCATAATGTGCCCATTTACATAACTGGGAATGGCATGCCAACAGAATACAGTGGAGACCCCCTCAATGACACCAGTAGAATAGATTACTTTAGTGGTTACATCAATGAAGCCCTAAAAGGTTAGTGTCATTGTTTTTGTGGCAATGTGTGGGATCTTTTCAGCAGATTTAAAAGATATATAAATGTGCTATGTGTTTTCTGCTGATATTTTACAGCAATTACAGAAGATGGAGTGGATGTACAGCGATTCACAGTGCAATCGCTCATGGATGGATTTGAGGGAAAACAAGGGTACAGTGAAAGATTTGGACTTCTCCATGTTAACTTTGAAGATAGTTACAGGCCGAGATCACCAAAACAATCAGCATACTTCTATGCTCAGATCATTGAACAAAATGGTTTTGTTGCACGTGAACAACCTAATTTTGAAGGCTTGAAAATACCACAAGCCTACCGTTCTACTCCACTGCCTCCTTCAGAAGTTCCATCGACATCAAAGATTGTCTGGGAAAAATTTACACCACAGAAAAAATTTGATAGACAAATGTATCACTATGGCACTTTCCCAGAAAACTTTTACTGGGGTGTTTCGTCTTCTGCATACCAAATTGAGGGTGGATGGAATGTTGATGGCAAAGGCCCTAGTGTATGGGATACATTTACTCAAAAGCCAGGTAGTGGTATTCCTGACAATGCAAATGGTAACAAAGCATGTGACAGTTATGACAGACTTGATGAAGACCTATACATGCTGCGAGCTATGAATGTAAAATCATACAGACTTTCTTTGTCATGGTCCAGAATCTTTCCCACTGGTAGGCGTGCATCCGTGAACCAGAAGGGTGTTGACTATTATAACAGACTTATTGATGGCCTCTTGGCTCTTAAAATTACCCCAATGGTCACAATTTATCACTGGGACCTCCCACAAGCTTTACAAGATGAGGGTGGATGGGAGAACGAGGAGATGATTAATATCTTTAATGATTATTGTGACTTTTGCTTCACCACCTTTGGTGATAGAGTGAAATTCTGGATGACAATGAATGATCCTCAAGGGATTGCATGGCTAGGATATGGTTCTGGAACAATCCCCCCAAACATTGTGAAGCCAGGAACAGCACCATACCAAGTTGCACACAACCTGATAAAAGCTCATGCCTTGGCATACCACACATACGATGAAAAACACCGTTCTTCACAAAAGGGAGTAGTATCAATTGCCCTCAATGCAGAATGGGTTGAACCTATAGATATCACTGTCCCTCGTGAAATTGCTGCTGCTGACCGGGCAATGCAGTTCCAGTTGGGCTGGTTTGCCCACCCAATTTTCAAAAATGGTGACTATCCAGAAGCCATGAAAGCCCAAGTTTTAGTGAAAAGCGAACTCCAGGGTCTGTCAGAGTCAAGACTTCCTTCTTTCACAGAGGAGGAGAAGAGCTTTATTAAAGGAACTGCAGACATGTTTTGTGTTAATCACTACACCACCAGAATAGTTACCCATATTACAGGTCCAATTACCCCAGACTCCTATGAAAATGACTGGGACTTTACAAAAGAAGAGGTAAAAGATTCAAAACCTACAGACATAAAAAACCAAAGAGCTGTATCTTGGGGTTTAAGAAGAGTCCTCAACTGGATCAAAGAAGAGTATGGAAACCCAGAGATATACATAACTGAGAATGGTGTCGCTACAAAGTCAAAAACTGCATGGAATGATTATGATAGAGTGTATTTTTACAAGACATATATCAACGAGGCTTTTAAAGGTAAAATAAAATGCTTTTGGCTATATATTGCACACCTTATGGGATTGAATTCTTGATGTTTGATTTGTATTTGTATTTCTCATAATAAACAGCCAATGAACTTGATGGAGTAAGGGTAAAAGGTTACACAGCAGCCTCCCTCATGGACTCTTTTGAGTGGTTAAATGGCAATACAGTTGGTTTTGGGCTCTACCATGTGGACTTCACTAATGAAAATAGACCAAGAACACCCAAGTTTTCAGCTCATTTCTACTTCCAAGTCATGAAAAACAATGGTTTCCCCATGCCAGATGATGAGAAAATGTTGTTCGGAGAATTCCCCCAACCCTTTCTCTGGAGTACTGCGACTGCGTCTTACCAGGTGAAGTAGCCACAATTGATCTGTTCTGCAACCGTATATTGTATTTTAAGCTTAGTCCTTTATTTTTCAACCCTAGTCCTAAAGGTATGCTGTCCTGCTTGGTTAGACATTTCCCTGCTTTAACACACCTGAACAGCATAAACCTGGTAATCAGTCATCAATTGAAATCAGGTTTGCTTAAGCAGGGACATATAGGGCAGTGTGCCTTGAGGACTATTAAGAAAATGTGGAAAAAAGGTGGAAAGTTCCCTGTATTACTGTTACCATTACTACTTTCAGATTGAGGGGGGTTGGAGAGCTGATGGAAAAGGACTCAGTATTTGGGATAAGTTTGCCCACACTCCTCTCAGAGTTTTTGATGATGACAATGGAGACATCGCATGTGACAGTTACAATAAAATAGATGAAGACATTACAATACTGAAGCAACTTAGGGTAAACCATTATCGGTTCTCCATATCTTGGGCACGGATACTTCCTGATGGCACTACAAATTATATTAATGAGGCTGGATTTAGCTACTATGACAGACTGGTGAATGCACTACTTAATGCAAACATCAAACCTCATGTGAGTTTAACTTGTTTTAGCAGTTCAACATTTATTTTTCATTAAAAAAAAATCTTAAGACTTAAAAAGTAAACTGTATATTTCTTTTTCTTCAGATTACTTTGTACCACTGGGATCTTCCACAAGCCCTGCAGAACGCTGGAGGCTGGGAAAATGATACAATTGTTGAAAGATTTAGGGATTATGCTGACATTATCTTCAGTCGTCTTGGTGACAGGGTGAAACTTTGGATTACCATCAATGAGCCATATAATATAGCAATGGTTGGCCATGGATATGGAGTAGCTGCCCCAGGTATGCTTTGCTTGTAGCCTTTTATGTCAGCTCTGAACCCCCTAATCACCTCCAAAAAATAAGGTCATCATAGAGATTCAGCTTTGTGTTATCGATGTGTGATGCTGAGAAAAACAAATTAAGGGCATGTACCATAACCATTTCTAACATGGATTGTGTTTTCAGGTATAAGTTTCCGTCCTGGTACTCTTCCTTACATTGTTGGTCACAATCTTATCAAAGCTCATGCCGAAGTGTGGCATCTATACAATGACAAATATCGGGCTACACAAAATGGAAAGATATCCATTACTATTAACTCTGACTGGTCAGAGCCAAGGAACCCCTATAAACAAGAGGATATTGATGCTGCAAGGCGTGTAATACAGGTGAGTCAAGCTCTGTGATGTTTAAAAAAAAAAAAAAAGGTTATTCTATTCTGAGGCATTAACTAGTGTCTCTCTATGCAGTTCTATATTGGCTGGTTTGCCCATCCCATATTTAATGGTGACTACAGTGAAATGATGAAGACAATCATTCGGGAACGCAGTCTTGCTGCTGGCTTGGCTAAATCACGGTACCAAAAAACCTCTACCATTACAGTATAAGCTCTGTTACTTATATCCATTCTTTAATGGACACTTCGGGTTTGTTACCATACCTTTATTGAATTTGTTCAAGCACCTGCATATACAAACTGGTTTGCTTTGTATCCGTATAGGGATTCCCAACTTTCCCATTAAGTTCTTTCCCATTTTTTTGGTTTAAGCTGAACCTAAAACTAGAGATTAACTATTTCCCGCTTTAGTTAAATTCTACTTTAAATTTTTAGGTTGCCTGAGTTTACACCAGAAGAAATAAAAAGAATTAAGGGGACACATGACTATTTTGGATTTAACCATTACACCACTGTCATGGCATTCCCTGTAGAGTATGGAAACCTTCAACATTATGATGCAGACAGGTGAGTAAGAACTTTCACATGAAATACATTTAAAGTTTTGATAAGCAATTTTATTTTTGTAATAAATGTACATTCATTTAAGTCAAAATCTAAACTCTGAACTATCCACAGGGGTGCAGGCACACTTTCTGATCATAGTTGGCTAGACTCTGGTTCTGGCTGGCTGAAGGTCACACCATTTGGAATGCGCAGAATATTGAATTTTATTAAGGAGGAATACGGAAATCCTACCATTATTATCACTGAGAATGGTGTCTCAGAAAAGGGGGAGGTGGATCTTAAAGATTCTCACAGGAGTTACTTCTATGAAAAATATATCAACCAAGTATTGAAAGGTATTTAAGCAAATTATCTGAATATACCAAATTATAAATGATGAGTAAAATAATGAAAGGGTTATAAAAATATTGATTTAATAAAACATGTTATTTCTTGACAAAAGAAAGCTGAGAAAGTGAAAGGGTAGAGTGCCTTCTCCAGGTTGGGAAGGATGTACTGCCCTTAGTGGAGGGGTTTAAGTATCTTGGGGTCTTGTTCACGAATGAGGGAAAGATGAGTGGGAAAGGTGCGGCGTCTGCTGTGAAGTGTACGCTGTACCAGCCTGTTGTGGTGTAGATAGAGCTGAGCCAAAAAACAATGCTCTCGATTTACTGGTTGATCTACATTCCTACTCTCATCTGTAGTATGAATGAATGAGATCCCGGATACAAGTGGCTGAAATGAGTTTTCCCCGTAGTCTGGGCTTTCTCCTAGAGATAGGGTGAGGAGCTCAGTCATCTGGGGAGGACTCAGAGTAGAACCGCTGCTCCTCCACATCGAGAGGAGCCAGTTGAGGTGGCTCGGGCATCTGTCTCCCTAGTGAGGTGTTCCAGGCACGTCCCACCGGGAGGAGGCCCAGGGGGACACCCAGGACAACCTTGAGGTTTCTCGGCTGGCCTGGGAGCGCCTTGGGTTTCCCCCGGAGCAGCTGGCCCAAGTTGCTGGGAAGAAGGACTTTTGGGCCTCACTACTGAAGCTGCTACCAGGCGACCCGGCCATGTATAACCAGAAGAAGATAGATAGATGGATGGATAGAAAACATGTTAATTCATGTTAATCCATCAACACCCTTGTTTATAGATGTTGGAGATCGGCCTGTTTTCCAGTGTGGTCCTGTTTCTCTGACCGTGACTGAGTGGATGTGCTCTCTTCGTCCTCTGGAATGGGAGCTGGCTCGGAGCTCGTCTGCCTGGCTGTGTGTTTCCTGGATGGGGCCGCCTTTTACAGCTGCTTTTTGTGTCTCTGGTTCCGTCTCCTTGAACCCCAGTCGGCCTCGGCAGATGGCCGCTCACACTGAGCCTGGTTCTGCTGGAGGTTTCTTCCTGTTAAAAGGGAGTTTTTCCTCTCCACTGTCGCTACAAGCATGCTTAGTGTGAGGGATTGTATTTGAGTCAATGAGTCAATGCAATCAACTGGTTTTCCTTAGACAGAAAACTTTGTATCAATTTGACTGTATGATCTGGTTGAACTGTAAAGTGCCTTGAGATGACATGTGTTGTGAATTTGGCGCTATATAAATAAACTGAATTGAAATTGAATTGAATTAATTAAAAAAAACTTATATTTAAATTGAAGTTAAAGAAAATGTTTGTATATTTAAAAAAATATATATTTTTCTTACAGCTTATCTACTTGATAAGGTGGACATTCGGGGCTACACAGCTTGGACACTCATGGATAACCTGGAATGGGCCACTGGCTTCTCAGAGAGATTTGGACTTTTTTATGTAAATCGTTCTGATCCCAATCTGCCTCGAGTAGCAAAAGAATCTGTGTCTTCCTACGCCACCATCATTAACTGCAACGGGTTTCCCGACCCTGCATTAGGACCTCATGACTGTCTGAAGCCTGGACAAGAAGGTAATCAGATGTTTTCAAAATACTTTGGCGACTTAGTAATCACAAAAGTGTTGTGTCAAAATCAAACTACTTAAACTCAAACTAGGCAGATTTGGTATGGTTTTAGGCAGGTTTATATGGAGCTGTTATCTGCAGTTTTTTCTGCAGCAAAATCTGGATGCAGACCATTTTCCACCTCTCTCATGAGAGTGGAGTTTCTTTACTTTAACATACTATTCATTGGATTGCTCCTATTTGGAGATAACATGGGGGACAGCGGCGTCAGATGAAGGAGTTTGCCCTGCAACCAGAAAAAAAAAGCACAATATAAGTACAGGCCATTTACCATACCACCTTGCTGCTCCATTCATACTCTGGGTAGAAGACGATAGATAGATAGATCGGCATAGATGTTAACAGGTAAAAAGGGTTATGCTCCTTATTCCAAATGAGTAAATCTATCTGTTCCAGTTCTTAGTCAAAGTTTTGAATAAAAAATAAAACTCTATTAAGCATATACATTGTATTGCAGAATCATGGTAAAAGTATCTAAAAACCAATAGCTTGATAATTTCTTGCAATAACATTGCAAACATTATGATTACAGGACAGCTTGCTGTGTAATATCACCTAATTACCGTAATTTTCGGACTATAAGCCGCAACTTTTTCCCCATTTTTCGACCATTTTTCGACCTTGCGGCTTATATAACAATGCGGCTTATCTATGGACTTTTACAGCTAAGGGCCACTAGGGTAATACGGTAGCTAAATCTATGGATTTTACCATCCACCATGTTGACGTCACATTTGCTTCAACACACAAGTAGCTGCGCGTGCGGGAATGCGGACATCCTCCAGAAGCAGACTCCAAGAAATACGGACATTGCAAGCCCAAGACAGTTTGTGTGACACCCTCATTATGGAAAACAAATGTTGAAATGCATATGATGCAGCTTTTAAGTTAAAGGCAGTCAATTTGCCAGTAAACGAAGGAAATAGAACCGCTGCATGTAACCTTGGAATCAATGAGTCAATGGTGAGACGTTGGAGACGCCAGCAGTAATAATTGTCTCAATTCAATTTGTTGAAATGTTAATAAATAGAAGCTTCCCCAAACAGTTGCCTCTTCCCGACAATCCTGTCTGCGCACGAACCATATGGTAAATAAACATAAAAAACCTGCGGCTTATAGTGTGGCTTGTGTATGTACAAACCATGCAATTTAGCTTCTGTGGCCTATATGCAGGTGTGGCTTATAGTCCGAAAATTATGGACTATAAGCCACTTTATCTGACACAAAGGCGAAGGGGGTGAAATTTGTGTCTCTGTACAGCCTGTCCAAAAGAGTTTTCAAGCAAAGAATATATTTTTGGACGGTCTTAGGAAATTTTTATAAAATCCTCTAGAAACTGTTTTATTTACCCCACCCCAACCACCCCCTTTTTTTTTCTTTTCTTTTCTTTTTTTTTTACTTTAAGTTGCTGTATGGATCCATGGTTATTTTTTTGTTTGTTTGTTTGTTTTATAACAAATAATGCTTTTTTGGGTGGGACAAATAAAAATATATATTTCCAGTGTATAAATAAACTGCTCATCCAATTCGAAAGTGTCCAAAGTGTCCATCCGGACACACTTTTGGAGGTAAATTCACTTTTTTTTTTTTCAATTGCAAATTATAAGGTTTCTGGTCAGCTGTGCAGGTATCCTTTCTTTATTTTACATAAATAGAGAAATTATAAGAATTCCTTTAATCATCTTTTTTTTCTCCCCTTTTCTAGCAACAAGTGCTCCATTAAATGACAGTTCTGTGAACTTCCTGGGCATGAAGCTCTCTGCTGATGAAGCTGAAACTGGACTTAATGCTACATTTGCTTTGCTCATCATTGCATCAATAGTGGCCATTTGTTTGACCATTGGCTTCTTTTTGACCAAAAGAAGTTTTAAAAAAAAGAATGTTGACAATATAGAGTTGGAGAGGAAATTCTAACCATAACCACACTTGCATACAGAAATGTAAACACTTAACTTTATGTTTAAAAACTGTTCTCTTAATTTTCATTGATAGTTGTTGGATTTTGCTTGGAATAATTTAATAATTGGCTTTTTTACAACATTAATAAACTCATATCCAATGTTTATCTTGTGAACATACAATTTGAGAGTATCATCTTATCCTGAAAAATGTAAATACTTGTCTATTTGATTAAATGTAATTTGAAATGTGTCAAATTTGAAATGTAATTTGAAATGTCTAAAAGCTATTTTAGTGGGCCCATTTTCACTGATGGTTGTTGGCTTTTTTGGGGACCAATCTGTTTATTAAATAGCTTTTTTACAAGAATAATAAACTGATAATAAATGTTCATCTTGTAAACATAATGTCTGACAGTATTAATGTATCAACTAAATTACCTACATTTTTTAAGTAATAAATCTTTTATTAAATGCCATTAGTTATCTTTCACTTTACACTCCAATGAATGTATTGATATATTTTAAATGTATAACTGATGTAATGTTTACATCTCCTTCTTATTAACATTTACCACCTGGCTGGTATTTTTTAAAGTACCATTATCACAAATATCTGGATTAACATGTCAGGCCTAAAGCAGGTTTTCTTTGTTTTCAGATGCTCAACTCTTCCAATTTTTGGCATCTCAAAGTTTCCTGTAAACTCAGAGAGAAATATTGCAATTGTTCCAGCAATTTGGTTCAATACTTAGCCTGCAGGTCCACCTAGCCTTTAATTGGTGTGCAGATTCAGGTTCCTGTGGCCTGCATGGCCTTGATTCATGGGGTCTTTTTGATTTGCCTGGCATCACATGTTCTTGAAGGATTGTCTTGGAAGTGAAAAGATATATCTGGGAGAGAAGAATGTTTTGGAGAGGAGAGCCTAAGAGCAGAGCAAAACTGCATCCTCCTGCACTTATGATCGCAGTTAATAATTTATATAGTGATTTGTGGCCCAATAGCTGCAGACTTGAGGTGATTTCAATGGTTTCTAAAGTGCAATCCACCTGTATTAGCTTTAGCAGCAAATTTAGCACTGTTATAATTTGACTTAACTAAAGTTACTGTAAATTTAGATGACTAAGATATAGAGCCATGGAGCAATCCATTTTAGCTCTTCTTAAGCCTTTAAGGAAAAGCATTTATGTATATTAAAGTGAAATTTGAAATGAACTTTATGACACTGAGCTTTTTCTGTAATGTTTCCACCTGCTTTGAACCCTGTCATCTACGGAGGACAACCCTATGGTTTGCTGCTCTATAGACTACCATTTGTTCTTTGCAACATTAAAAGCAAAGGTTTAAAAAATTCATTGAGTTTCTGTTGCTTTTTCTGCTTCTGTAATTAGCAGTTACCCAAACTCTTCTGGTTCAAACGAGAAAGAAGAAAAATATTAGCTACCTCAGTTATTAAGGTACAACAGAGAAAATATAATTAAGGCTTTTTCACTACCAGTAATAAAATCTAAAGCTAAATAGAGGAGGTTATTACCAACTGCTCTTCAATACATCTGAGACTAAGGAAAATTATAAATACAGTTGCATTTTTTAGGACTTTCAAAGGACAGCTCAGCTCTGCAGTAGGATTTAAAGGCTTTATAAAATTATCGCTAAAGAATCTTTTTGAAAATTAAAATGATCTCCTGTATTAAAATATTCTTAATAGAATGCCAATCAAGTGTCCTATTCCATCTCCCTCAGTTTCATTGATGTTTCCAGGAATGTCTTCCATATATTTCAAAAACCAGTAAATCTGCATTGGAGTAAGTGCTGTACAAAAAAACTTTCCTGTAGTACTTAGTAAAACACAGGCTTTCTTTCATTACTTTCTTTTACCACTCTGGAGTTCAACATAATAAAATATAGCTTCTAATGCAAATTAGTTAAATTATTTGTATTGTTATTATTAAATTGTCACTTTTCCCCTTGATCTCCATTTTTTTTCTTTCTGAAATTGCTTTTTTTTTCTAACCCATGTAATTCATAAGTTCCTACAGAGTAAAAGTTAGTATGCCGACATTACCTTTGCTCAGAGGCTTTCCGTTTACCAAAGGATTTCAATTGCTGCTTTAATATATTGGTTTTCTCAAAAAGTCAATAGAATTTGTGCTTTTTAATAGTATTTAAAAGAAAACAGTGAAGGGCCCTTGACAGGAGCTATGGAACTTCACAGACTTCACTTTAAGTTACTACTTTCAAATATCCATTACAGTAAACATGTCCATAGCTGTATATTAGTTATTTATTTTCCAAGTTCATGGTATTTATATTGTTAAAACACTTTACAGTGCATTATTTCATTTGTTTATTTTTTTTTTAACTGTTCACTATTATGCTAGTCTTATACACTTTTCTAAGGTCCAATGTGTGACAATTTTTTTTTAATAATCTTTTTGCTGCTGTAAACACCAGAATTTCCCCATTGTGGGACGATAACGGGATTTTCTATTCTATTCTATTCTATTCTATTCTATTCTATTCTATTCTAAGTTGCATAGAAAACAGTTGTTTTCTTTGGTTGTTAAAGTGACAGCCATGGGAAATAGGTGTTAGCTAAATTACTTTATCAGAGCAGCTTTTATTTGGTTTTAAATTGCTAAACAATGGTGCTGGTTTTCTGGAGTCTGGAAAGTGTGATTGGAGAAGTGTAAAAAAACCATTACAGCACAAACACTTCATTTCCTGTTGAAAGAAAGGCTGTTGAAAGTCCCCAATGTCATTTTAAAGAGGTTTTCTTTCTAGACATATCCACCAGAGGGCAATGTAATACTAATTTAATCTCCAATTTATTTTGAACAGTTCTGTTGGAAGGCAATAGAATTCAACTGAGATTCAACAAATCTACAATTTCTCAAGAGGCAAAGTTAGGTTGGGTATTTCCTGCAGAGATGAGGAAATACACAATGAAGCTGCAAACAATTTAGAAATAATTCCATTGCTGCCTTTATTGAAATTTGTGTGTATAGTAAATAAAGCTGATGCAGCCTGCAGCGGATGATCAATCAGCTCACATAAAAGCAGGGAAACAATTCAGTTTGAGTCTCTGGAGACTGAGGTTAAATGTTTTTCTGTTTGCAGGAAATGGGGAGGTTGCAGCAGTTTGAGAGATGGCTGGTTTAAAGAAACCACGTGATGAATCATACTTCCTCTAAGAGTTAGGCCTCAACTATTTGTGTCTCTTCATTTACAATTTGCCCATAACGGGGATGGCTAGTGCGAGGTAAGACTGCTGAACTCAACTATTGATTATTTAAGCTTACATATGTTTAAAAATTATTTTTTCTACTATCTCAAGTTACCTCTAGATGCATCAAATTAAATTTTAATCGTTTTTGTCTGAAATGCTTACAGGCTTGAGATTCCCTAATTGACTAAGATATATTCTGTGGTGATTGTATTGAAATAATAGTCTTTCAATTACACTTTCCTGTTGGGGAAAAACAGAAGAAAGTTTATAGATTTTGTTTCTTTTATATGAATCTTGTTTCATTAAAGACCTTATGCATGACTGAAGTGCCAGCTTCCGTTGTTTGGACGGTTTCAGTTAGTTTCCGGTTAATGAAGCCTCTTCTATCTTTTAGTTCAGGGGCCATTTGCAGGATATGATCATGAGTGCTTTTCTAGTGTCTATAAATTATTGATTACCGGTAGCTTGAAGCTGAATATTGGAATTTTTACTTGATTCTATGGAGTATATAGCACTGTCAATATATGCCTTTACAGTACTTCAAAGTGAAGTCATTTCTGATCAAAAAGGTAAATCCTAAAATTCTATCATCACCATAAAATATCTTATGAGTGAGTCAGGGCTGCTGTTTGTAAATCACTTATTGCTTCCCTGTTGTTTCTGTCTGATGCATAAACTACTACAGTTTTCACACTAGTGTGTCTTGTGCTCTATTTAATCCAAAGCAACCAGGAGAACAAGAAGTGCAAATAACCTCTTTAGAGAATAAACGCAGGTGAAAAATGAGTAATAATGATCAACTTGCAACATGAAACATGAAAAATCTTACTGAGGACATCTGATGACAAAGACAGGAACTGAGTATAAGAACAAAACCCTAAACTAAAAACACTGCTATGAATGGCAAAACAGATGTTTAAAATCAGACATTCACACAAAATGCATTCCTTTTTTCCCACTGTCAGACACTGAATCTAAATTTAGATCCATATTCCAAATGTAAGTTGTTTAAGATTACCAAAGTAGCTCGTATTTTCTTAATGCCAGAATAATGAAACTGATAGTGTTTAAGAATTTGTAAACATTTTTTACATAATGTAGTTCCTTCGCAATGTGATCTATTGTTTGCATTGTACCTGTAATCTTGGTTTTGCTTGGTTTTGGTCTTTCAACCCATGGCAGTAATTGACTTGTTTTAGACTAGATGATGACATGCTGTTACCATATAATGACGTGCTGATACTAGATAATGACATGCTGCTACCAGTCAGCATCTTTGCCTTTTACTTCGGAAGCTGATATGTGAATTATACTTCAATATATGTAAACTCCTAAGTGAAAAAAAAGGTCTAAAATAAATGTTTTTCATCATTTTAACATTTACAGAAAGCATACAGCCTAATTTAGTGCCTGACAGTGAAAGGGAAATGTCTTTTTTTTACGGCATATGCAAATATTCAGCCGTTTCTCTGAAGCAGTGCATTATTTATAGAAATGTAGACCCAAATTTTAAAAACAAAATCAAAAAGAGTCGTACATACTGGTGGAAAAAAGGGAATAACATGTGCAACTACTATTATTTAAAGGATTAAAATGAAAAATGTAAAACTAACTGAAACTAATAAGAGAAAAACAAATTTAAACTTTACCGTCAAAACAACCATCTTTAAAGAGAAAGTAAAAATCTGTAGCTTTTGAGCTCTTGCTCTAACTTTCATTGTTTATTTCTGCTTCATATATAGATAAAAAGTTAAGCTTATTTTATCAACACACTTTCATGTTTATATTTTAATCCACATGTGATAATTTGGGATTTTTCATTTTGAACAGGTTTCTAATGTGCTTTAATTCCTAATCTACTCTTAGTGTTAACAAATCCTTGTTTAAGTTTTACATATTCAAAGACATTCTATCAATGCATTTTAGCTCTTTACTTCCTGCCATTTAGTTTTTGACACTCTTCAAAAACGAGTGGAAATGTTAAACGCTATCAAATCTCACACTCTTGTATGTTGCTATTCTCAGTTGGTTTTATTGGTTAATACGTGTTACATATGCTGTATCAGTTGTTGTTGGTTGGAAAATGTACAAGGAAAATATAATTAACTTTTTATCCATTTTTCTAATTGTCTATTTTTGACTTATTTTTACACACGTGCTTCTGTGGTAAAGGTTTTCAGAAGCTTTACTGCAGCTGTCAGACAGGAGGACGTGTTGTGTAAGTGGTGTTAGGCAAGCTAAAAACAGGAACCATAGTATAAAAAAAGTTACATGGAAGAAAATCAAACTGGCTGCTTACGAGCGTTTAAACAATCACACCAAAAAGGTATTTAAGACACTGACCATACCCTTTTTCAAATTTTTCTTATTCCAGAATTGTGTTACATGCTGACTTTAATATGGATTTTTCTTTTTCTGCTGCATCAAACTGAGACAATGAGGTTTTTCGAGAATTCATGTCAGTTTGTCGGCCCTATTTTTATTCACAGTGAAAGAGCAGAATAGATGTGGCCTGGCTGATATGGCCCATGCAACTGAAGACCAAAACCACAGCTGTGAAAGGGAGAACTTAACGCAGGGCAGCATGGTGTTATACAGGTAGTCACTACGAATTAGGACGTAAAAAGCAAAGCGCTTATAAGGCAGGAGAATTACTCTTTCAATATGTTTTGTACAAATACAAAGTAAATGACAAAAGATTGCTAATATTAGCCCAGTGTTTCAGTAAACCTATCCCACAGGACTTTTTAAAGCTTAATGTGCCGTGTCAGATGGTTCTCTAAAAATAAAAGATAAAGACACACATGTTGTAACTTTGTTAGAACAACATTGTTAGAACAACACAACACGTTCCTCATAATTGTGAAGAACAATGTGTCTGTTGCTATAAGAGAATAAAAGAATGTTTCTGGGATTTCATTTGTGGGATTTTTTTTTATGGTAACTGTTTTATCTCAAATACCAGACTGTTTTATATAATTTTAACACACACTGGTCAGACTTCAGGTGTAAACCAACACCAGAATTTTAACCTGGTACAGAGACATTTTGTATTTGACTTTTTATTTTACCCTTTGCAATCAAGACGTCATATGACGAGCAGACGGACACCTCAGTAGTTCAGCATCGAAGCATATACAGTATGAACCTGTTGCCTTTTTTCCTAAATTTACCTCAGGTCGGAATGTGACCTCAAGCACGTTCATGTTGAAAGGGTCTGACCCACTGATTTCTATTTATTCACTGGATATTCGATTGGCCGAAAACTTAAGTCACTTGCTTCATTTAGTTGTCCTGGACTGTACACATTAATGAACATTTCTCTAAATGTGTCAGTATTATCTATGAAGCTAATTTTCAACTGTTGTCCCTGGGCAAGGTGCATAATGCCAACAACAATTGACGACATAAAAAAGTTGTAAAACAAACATAGAAAATGTAAAAATTTGGGGCTACATACTTACAAGGGCCCGTCATACAGTTCAAACTGGTAATTACCAGAACACTGTTATCAATACATGCATATTACATGCCAATCATCAATTTAGGACTTTTGGCACATCATCTGATACTGTAGAGTGTGTGCATTTGTAATATTCTTAATATCTAAGAACAGAACTATTATTATTCTCCATTAATACACTAATTTTGTTGTGATAGATTTGTATAATGTTATTTTACATGATTTATAGATGTCATACTGACTATGCAATGTGATGTGCCTATTTTTTTACCATAAATTACAGTAATCTGCTGATGCTATGAAAGAGTGTGTGTCAAAGTGATGAATTTATCTTTATTTTAAAAGTGTTAACCCCCCTGAAAATGAGAAATGTATTGTTGTTAAATGCTGTAGCGCAAGTATTGTTTACATTCCGACTTGTCCAACTAGTGATTATCAATATTGCGGCTAGTGACTTCATAGCAACACGTACTACTGTAGGGAAATCCAGATTGAAATCAGGAGGCAGATCCAGGTTCAGTCCACAGGCAGAATCCATCAGGAGTCCGAAGACAGGTCAGGCAAACAGATCAGAACAGGAACAGGCAGGCTCAAAGGTCCAAAGACAAAAAGGGTCAGGATCAGGCGATCAGAACACAAAATGGTAAACTAGAGAACACTCATCGAAGACTGGAATAATCTGGCATTGATAACAGTTCAAATAGAGACTAGAGCAGGTGGCACAGATGAACGATGATGAGAAACATCACTCCATTCTCCTAGACAGGGGAATGGAATGAACCCTTAAGCCAGTCATCAGATCATGACAAAAAACATCTTTAGGTGAACCTTTGTTGATCCCTGGAGAACCACCGTACCAGATTAGCACATTACAAAGAGTTTTTGATCATTCTGTTTAATTTTACTGTTTACTCATGCCAGCTCCAGCCAATAGGTTGTCTTACTTCACTTCTCTTACTACTCTTTTTTTTGTTTTTTATTATTATTAACCTAGGCACAAACCAAACATTTATTACAATGATCAGCCCATTTCAAATCAAATGGACTGATTAACACACTCACCATAACACAGGGCTGCTCCCCATCAGCTGTTACCGGTTGTGACAACACCTTCCTGGTCTGTTTTAAAAGTGGTGCGCTGTGCTCCTCATCTATACGTTGACATCTGCCAATCAACCAGCTAACAGCTGTATCTGAGCACAACTTGCTCAAATGGTCTTTCACAACAATTCCCCCTCATTCATAAAATTTGAGACATTTCCTTGGACGGCTATAGCCGGAACAGCTGACCCAAAACGGGGACATCTGGTCAGCGCAATACAGACAGTGAATTCAAAAAGAAGAAAGGAGAAAAAGTTACATTTGGTGTGTTATAGACAAAGAACACAACATTATACAATATGCTGTCGTCTCTCCTTTTATGTCAAGATTCCTCTCAGTTGTTTTGATGGTACTGTGACAGAAATTTCCTTTATTTTCTTGCTTCTAAGATGAAGTAAATAAAATAAAAGTGATCCAACACAGACGTTCTCGACCTTCATTCCAGGACATCAATGTTACGGTAATTTCTGCTGCCATGTATCTGGGATGATGTGAGCTTAAAGCCAGTCTAAAGAAGACCTTGTAATCAATTATCTGAAAAAATAAGAGCATCCCAACTCATTAAGACCAATATCGAGACAATATCCTTCTTAACAGAAAGCCGGACTTACTGAGCTTCTCCAGCATGATCAATTCATTAGAAGTTTATTTTATCATATCTTACCAGTGCAGATCATTTCGCAACAATTTATGAGACAGAAAGGTCATACTCTTGCGTAGTAAACTGTAGGGAAATAAGTTCTTATCAATCCAATATAAACCACTCATGCAGCCATATAGTAATTGCATCTATCAGCAGTACAATTACATGCAAGTTCTGTATCATAATCATAATCAGTTCATCATAAAATTTAATTGTGAAAAAGCTTTTTAGTTTAGAAGAGTTGGTGGATTCAGAAAGTGGGAGCTGCATTTTAATATGAAGAAACCTCCAATAATAATAAAAAATCTCAGTCTTTGCAACCCTCTCCATAAACAGCTGAGGTTTGTATATGCTAGGTTAGAACAACTTTTTAAGGAAAAGAAAGCTGTGTACATAGAGTTAATGGAAACATGTTTTTTTTTCTGTTTTTTGAGAGAAACATAACAGAGATTAGCTGAGGCAATATTACTATCTGTTTGAATGTCTTCCTATATGGAAGTAAGTGTTTTTCAGTTCTCCCAGTTGCATATGAAGAAAGTTTTGGGAGATTTTTTGTTCTTTTCTTATCCTATAGGATTACACGCAAGTAACATGCAATTGAAGCTAAAATGGCTGATATCTCATTAAGATTAGGGATTTGTAAACATCTTCTTTTAGTTGCATCCATAAAATTGTGAGAAAGACATTGGTCCTGGCTTGTATGCAGAACTGTTGATAGCATAAAAATTAAACAGCAAAATCCATTGTTTAGAGATTTGCAACCAGAGCAATCTTTGGTCAGGTTTAAAAAAATTCCCACCCTAAGCTGAAACCTCAGAGAATAATCAAATACACTATGTAGTGTAAAATATAAAGGACATAACAGTCAACAGCACCATTTTTTTATGGTAGGGGAAGATACAAAATAACAAGAAGACCAAAAGTAAAATTCAATCCCAAACAATCATTGAAAGTACTGGCAGTATTAGTTAATATTTTGGTGCTTTCACAGAAAATTGCAAAACAAAATGCTGAAATTGTAAGATAAATGTATATTCTTACTGAACGAACATAAAAAAAAAAAAAAGAAAAGCATTGAAATCTACTCTTTATATTTGACCGAAAACTGTTTCGAGGGCACTATCGATGAATTAAAAATTAGATTTTGGATTTAAGCATCCAGAAAGCAGAAGCTCTGGTAGGTAGGTCTAACCATGTATTTACTGCCAAATATATGTAAATTTCTAAAGCTATTTTTGTAATGGAAAAAAATAAGGTAGACATGAGAGGGAGCTACATTATGTGAATCACAGGAGACAGTAAAAAACCCTAAAATGTAGGTTATTAAAATATGCAAGAAAACTGTATTCATGACGAGTAATTTCACAGATCAGACTAATGATAATCCTATACACAAAAAAGGCAAATAAACAGAGCATACCGGAGGCAATGATTAGATAAAGTTACTTTTAGAACACTGAAGAGAAAAGGTTCTTAAAACAGAGCTGAGTGGGTTAATACAGTGAGGTGTGGGTGTCAAGAAACAAAAGGTTACAAGTACATGACCAAAAGTACAATGTATGTGGGCAAAATAAAGCAGGAAATTGTAATAACATACAAACAGTGACATATCCTGATTGTTGGGAAACCTTTACATATTTGACATATTTGATCTGAAAAATATTTTAAAGTAATGGATAATTTCAATTTTAAGCTGAATGCATGGTTGTGAGTAATCTGATGTTTTATACTAAGATGGTTTAGAGATGGGCCACAGAGAGATTTTCAGAGATGGTTTTAACAGATCTTTGTCTCTGGCTTTTTTCTTTGTTTCTCCCCAGAATCACAAACCTTCAGAATGCTGTTAAACAGGTGCCGCTTATTCAGCCTCCTCAGCCCAGTTCTGCAGCACAGGGAGCTGTTCAGATGAGGATAAAGAACACTCAGGGCTCTGCAGACCGCCTGAGCCAGTCCAAGTCCATGGTCCTGCAGGACACCGACCTTCCTCAGAAACCTGTATGAAGACAAAACAGAACCAAACCGACACTAACCTTGTGTTCCAGTTTTAAATCATTTTTAATTGTTTTTTCAGCTGTCTCGGCATCGCAGGAATCAATCTCAGCACGGAGTGATCCTGACGGCAGCAACAGCATTTGAACCACTGGTATTGTCTAAGACTTCTGATGTGCTTTTACCTTAAAATAACTTAACTTTTAATGCTTTAAATTCATTCAGGCAAATTGCCTTTCATTTTACGTAACACTGCTTTCTTCATTTCTGATGTTTTTTAATTAAAATCCTGTAAGTAGAATATTCGTGATTAGAAAACAACATGATATGCCTCTTAACCTTTTTTTTCCTACATTTTGTTACTATCAATAACTTCCCCTTTATTACTGGGATTGTATAATACAGACCAAATCAAAGCAGAGGATAGTTGTTGAGGGAATGGAAAATGATATGTGGGTTCAAAGCTTGTTAAAATTAGAGTCTGAAGGGTGTGCTAGAAATTAATGAGCCTGGGTCAATACTCATACAATAATATTACAGCAGCAAGTCTCTTTATGTGTAAAATGTCAGCTTTGCACATATACAGACTGTTTTTTTTTGTCTTTGCAACAATGCTCACGTTTTATCTTAAAAATGGGAAAATGTCCTTTTTTTCAAATGGACGCTGTCAATCTTAAAAAAATACTGTTCAAAATCTTTCTGTAAAAGTTAGAATAAAAAATTGTTTATGTCACTCTGAAATTGCATAATGTTTAGAGTTACCAACTTTGTACTGAAGCTCAAAGGGAGATGGGTACCGGGTTAAGCCAAGATAAAAAATAACGGATGAACAATTTTAGAGGAGAATAGCAGCATGTCAACCAGAATAGAAAGTAAGACACAGCATAATATAATGATATTTAAAACATCTGAAAGGTTTATAAACAGCATATTCACAGAGAGAGCAGGTCCTGATGAGCTGAAAATCAGATAAGTGGCCCAGAAACTTTACTTTTTACATTTTTTTGTGTCCTATTTTTTTCTCAAGTTGGCTATTCCTATGTAAGTGTTTTTGTCTGAAGCCTTTTTTGTTTTCATTTAAGTTCAGCTACTCTACTTACATAGTGTTTGCATAGAGGCTTATCCTTAAACCAGTTCTAAAGGTTCTAAAACGTATAAAAAAACATGTATAAAAATGTACGGATATAGCTATTTGTGATTTTTTTTAGTTAAATGGATATTTATTAAATTGATATTTAATGAGGGCTTCTCAGTGGAGCAGTGGGAAGCACTGCTGCCTTGCAGCAAGAAGGTTCCGGGTTTAAGTCCTGGCCTGGGGTCTTTCTGCAGTTTGCCTGTTCTCCCTGAGCATACGTGGGTTCTCTCCGGGTACTCCGGCTTCCTTCCACAGTCCAAAAACATGACTGTTAGGTTAATTTGATTATCTAAATTCTCTTTAGGATTGAGTTTGTGTGTGAATGGGTGTCTGTCCCGTGTGTTGCTGTCCAATGTGTTTGATTGATTAATTATGTGAACTGAGCCCTGATTAATTTTAACACCAGCCAGTAATGGTATAGACTTACATTAGTGTTGTTGGGTTTTTTGCAGATAAAAACTAGTCTAAAAGCAGGTACACAGATGATAAAATCCTATTGGCAGAAAAGTAACAAACAAATTGGTTTGTTACGTCACACTCCATTTGACAGACTTGGCAACTCAGGGTTTAACTAACACAGTGATGTAGAGCTGGTGTTTCTGGTGTATTCTTGACTTTTAACAAACACGGCTGGAATGTGGCTTTGTACACGTTCATGTGGTATAAAAGGTTCTGATTGTTCCCAGGGGGACCTGAAAGGTGAACATTTGAACGTAGCGAAGATCTCAGAAAACGGTAAAAAGCAGAGGAAGAACTGGACTTCAATGTGGACTGTGCTGACCACGGATGAACTGCTGCTCTATAAAGACAAACAGGAAACTGGCGTGGTATGAAACCATTTATATTTAAATTTAGTTACACCAGGTCAACCCCAAACTATTGACCTGTTTAGTATCAGCACATTACTCATTTTTTGCAGCAGGGAGTTAACCTCCATGTTTTGGGATTTGCTGTGTTTAGAAACCAGGAGGTAAAACAGATGTGGTTCAGCTTTGTGGGGCTGTCATTGAATGGACAACGGAAAAGTCAAGCAAGAAAAATGTCTTCCAGGTAACTATTACTCCTGAGCTTTTATTTGTCATGAAGGCAACTAGTTAATATTTAAAGCTGAGTGACAACATGTAGCTCCTTTCCACCTGTCCTAGATCACAACTAACACAGGCAGTGAGTACCTCATCCAGGCTGAGAATTACTCCACTGCCAGCAAATGGCACGACGGCATCAGGAAAACCGTTGAATCATTGGTAAGACCAGCATTCTAGTGAATTATCTTTTCCTTTTGGGACATGCAATATATAAAAATATTATGAATTGTGTTGTTGTTTTAGACTAAAGACGACAGAGGTTTTGCTCTGCGGAGGTCCAACAGCTCAGAGTTCCTGCCCAGGCACAGCTCCTTACCTGGACATGGAGCGGTCTCACCCAATACAAAGCCACGAAACCCAGTTCACAGACGGTCCATCAGTTAGTACAAACTTTGTTAATATTATTAGAAATTAGGTGCAAGGCAAATGTTAAATATTAAAGTTACTATCAGAATTAATTAACACTGTTAACATTGCATAAATTTAGTCACTACCAAATGGGTAGGGTTTTGTCAACAAGGTAACAAACAGTTTTGATGGCCATGGTCAATAGTCACGACAAGGATATTTAAATTAAATGCAGAAAAATGTTTTTTTATGTCAAACTGAACTGAAGTTATTGCAAAGTAAACATAATTTTTAATTTAGGGTAATGATAAGACAATCTCTAGGCAGGTCTAAGTTAATGGATAAATAGAAATAAAATAGAAATAAGCTATGCTTATTTACTTGGCAGTGATAGGTTGTACTCTACCAATTCAAGAGTTTCAACACTATATGTTTTAGGACTAAATATGATAAAACTGCTTCAGAAACAAAGACCAACTCAGTAATTGATGGGACTCTTAGGAATATTAGTGTGTCTCATCATAACGGCTGCCCAAAGAGCTGAGAAATGTTGACTTAAAATTCACAATTTTCTTATTGAAGCAGAACGTTTTTATGTCCAAAACATTTCTTACATTAAATAAAAGTTCAAAATCAACAGCATATGTGATAATTGTTAAATATTCAATTATTTTCTAGATATGTTTTCCAGCTCAAAGCTGAAACACAGCGCCTCAGACAGTGCAGACAAGAACGGAGTGAAGAACAGACTGAAGAAGTTCATCATCAGAAGGCCTTCCATGAAGACACTGCAAGAGAAAGGCCTCATCAAAGGTTAATATTTGCTTGTAAATACAATAAGTCAATCAGTCCATCAATCAACCAACCAATCAATTCAATTTAATTCAGTTTATTTATA